ATGTATTTACAATAGTACAACAATACAAGAGAAAATATAATATAAAAACATTTATTCAAAATGTCAAGAAGATCGAAGTTTGAGAAAACTTTATTCAAGCAACTAACGGGTCTTTAAATACATTTGAAAATTGTACAGACTATTTACTTCAAGGTTACCATCAGTATTTCCTTCCTCCGTGGATTTATCCTTTTCAATATTGATTTCTTCATCTCTCAATGATGCTAAACATCTGAGATAAATAATATCTACACCTTGCCTTAATGAGTTCATTGAAGTCATTTTCATAACAAGATTTGGCTTCTTGACACCTTCAACAACATGTGTTATTAAATTCATCACAACATCTTACCCTGCAATATGTTCAATGTATCTCCTGACTATTATGGAAATTGATAGTTAAACTAATTAGGGAATACTGTTAACTAATCTATTGCAGGCTAAAAAAGGAATAGAGCGAATCTATACTTAAATATTTACCAGGGTATAGCGATCTTACTATAAATAATAAGCTATGATAATCATAAGATAGACTAATTAAATATAGAATAATTGTCTGGAGCAAAGCAACAAACTTATACTTCTATGTTCTTTGATAACCAAAATTTCATTTTTGATACATTTATATTAAAAATATCAAAAAAGTAGTTTTGGTATTTTCTGTTTGTGACTTTTGTTTTTATATAGTAAAGTTAAAATTTTACTAAGTAAATTAATTCTGTTTATTAAGTAAAAATTGTTCAGAAGATCAAGATACATATATCTTGAAATTTTTATATAATTTGGATAATTTTTTATTAATATGTTTTTGCAATTTATGTTAAAAAAATTGATTAAAATTTTTTATAAATTTTTATTTAATAAGAGAGCTGATATTTTAGAGGTAATTATAGCTCTCTGGGGATTGTCAATTGACTATTCCCAGAATACTAGAGTCAGTCATTTGACAATTACAAAATTAAAATAAAATTATATAGATTTTGTATATTTTATATACTTCTTGCATATTTTATATACTTCTTGCATATTTCATGCACCCTTGCATATTTTATGCATGATTATATATAATTATGCATGATTATACATAAAATATACAAGAGGTATATAAAATATACAAAGAGTATATAAAATATGCAAGGAATATATAAAATATATAAAATCTATATAATTTTATTTTAATTTTGTAATTGTCAAATAACTAACTCTAGTATTCTGGAAAATAGTCAATTGACAATTCTCAGAGAGGTCTATAATGACCTTTTAAATATTAGCTTCTTAACAATAAAAATTAATTATCAAATAATAAAAATTATCATAATTATATAAGAATTTTAGGATATATGTAATTTGATTTCCTGAACAATTTTTACTTAATAGGTATAATTGATTTACTTAGTGAATATATTATAAATTAATTAAAAAATATTATTTTTTATTTGAATTATTTAAAAAAAATAATTTATTTTTAGAAATATATGATATTTATGCTTCAAACTTATACTAGTTTCTAGTTTCTAGTAATAATACAAATATGATGATAACAAGAAAAGTAATAATAACAATGATAATAATATATAATAAGACTAATAAGTAATATGGATAAGCTAACAATAAGAATAACATAGATTATAATAACAATAAACAAAAAAGAAAAAAGTATGCATTGAAATCTTTTACAGAGTTAGGATACAAAAAATTAAATTTTAGTAGTAACAAACTTTCCTTTTTATTTATTGAGCTCCTGCAAAGATCAATCTGGTTCTGAATCACCTCTGGGGTAGCTGATATAATTTAAGTCAATTACTGTATACTTTTGTTTAAGAACTTTATCGTTCATAGTTCTTAATTTAGAAACACCATTTTCTAGAATATTATGAATATAGAAAGAGCATTTCTATTTTTTATCCAATTTGTTTTTGTGGGTGCTTTCAAGCTTAGATCTATAACAAAGAACTTGATCCTTAATTGAATAATACTGGAGAATAAAATGGAAGTTGTGTCAAGCTTTTTGCAGTTGCTATGATCTTTTAATTCAGACTTAAGCTTTAATATGAGCTTAAGAATATCTCCTAAAAACATCTCTATTTGTTAAAGTAAATATTCTTGTAATCTCTCCTCAGAAGAAAAAGAAGCATCTGAATCTAAAGATCAAACTTTAGCAGGAAGAATAGTGTCTTAGTTATATATTAAAAAGAAGGGCTCATAACAAGTAATATTAGGAATTTTTTTGGCACAGATTTGTAATAACCTGTGAAAATGCAGATTATTGCAGATTTTTTAATACAGATCTGTGCAGATATTCAAAAATACAGATTATTACAGATTTTTTAACTCAAATCTGTACAAATATTCAAATACACAGATTATTACAGATTTTTTAACTCAGATCTGTGCAAATATTCAAAATACAGATCTGTGCAAATATAAGGGTTTAAAAATTTTTTATTTAATTAATTATATTATTACATAGTTTAGATTTAAATTGTCAAATTTTTATTTATTTTATACAATAACTAAATCAAATATATATTTTATTTTATATTTATTCTAATATGAAAAGAATACTATAAAACTAAATAACAATTATTTAATTTCTAATTTTGACAATTCACTATCTACATTCAAAATTATATTTGTGCAAGAAATAACTTACTTGCCTCACCATAAATATTTATATATAATTAAAATAACAATTACCAGTATTTAATTTCTAATTTTGATAATCTATTATCTAGATTCAAAATTAGATTCATGCAAGAAATAACTTTACTTGCTCTACTACAGTCAGGGATATTTCCAAATTTGGAAAATCATATTTTGTATAACAGATTTCATTCTAGATCAATTCTAGAATAATCTCTAGATTTTTATTGGTTCACGATACACTTTTTGGCTAAAAGTTTTTGACTTTTCACGATATCAAAATACAACTAATGATGATATACTCAAAAAATAGAGAGCTCGAAGTTCTATAATCAATAAAAAATCAATAAAAATCAATTTTTTTTAAAAAAGTAAATGAAACTTTAAAAAAGGCAAGTTTAAATTTATACTTACTAGTTGGTTGAATCTCTAAGTTTTTTTTACAGTATTTCTGGTTTTTTTTTTAATAAAAGTGATCAAGACATTATAAAAGAAGCAGTTTTTAGATAAAGTAAAAAGATTACTTATACCTGGGTCTATGTTTTTTTTAGATTGTTAGCTTTATAAGCGGGAGTGGTAGATTTTTTTTATTTTTATTATACTTTTTTTTTATTTTGATATATAACATTTAATTGTTTTATTTATAAATATTTAAATTATATATTAAAAAAATAATTAACCTATGTATTTAAAAAATTTAAGTTTTTATAATTTAGAACTATAATCTAGATATATTAGTTTTAACTAAACTAAAATCAAACTTACAACTATCAAACGGTCTTTATCCAAAATAATTTAGTTAAAGAGTAGATGTGGCTGCATGTGACATTAACTATTTCAACCTAATCAACATTTTTGCTCTAATATAAATACGAACTATATACCAGTAAATATGATTCTTTGTATCTGTTCATCATAAGATAAGTTCATTTACAATATGCTAATGCTTCTGCATTATTTGGAATAATTTCTAATAATTTATTTAAATCTACTAGTGATTCTTCATATCTAATCTTACTCCACAGCTTGCTAATACGTCTATATTATTTAAAATAATTTTTAATGATTTTATTTAAATCTGCTGATATCTGTTTATTATATAATAGGTTTTCTAATATGTCTGCATTATTTGGATTAATCTCTAATGATCTATTTAAATCTACTAGCGATTCTCCATATTTTTTCATTATACGATAAGTTTCACCATAGTTTTCTAATACGTCTGTATTATTTGGATTAATTTTCTGATCACTATATCAAAATCACGAGAGGATTAATTAATAATATCCTAACTGTATATGAATAAGCGGAAACTTCATTTCTGCTAATTTCTAACAGATCAGGATATTATTATTACTAATCTCTAATGATCTATTTAAATCGCTAATGATTATTCGTATCTTTTTGTCTTATGATAAGTTTTTCTATAGCTTACTAATACATCTGTATTATTTGGATTAATTTCTAATAATTTATTTAAATCTGCTAATGATTCATCATATCTATTCATCTTAAAATATATTACACTACAGTTTTAATATGTCTGATTAATTTTTTAATGATTTATTTACAAAGTTATACTTAATACTGTAATAATCTAATTGTCTATTGGTTTAGCTCTATAATAATTAGAATATATAAAGTATAAGCATTAGTTAGGTTGATTGTTACTATAATAGCATGTTAAACAGTAAAGTTCTTTAGATCTTACACATAACAAACTTATTTTTTCTGGTATTTAAAACTTGCATATAGCTAGTATAACTAGTGCTAACAATAAATAATAAAAAAAAATACATATATTCGCTTATAAGTAAATTTCTTAGAGTTGTGAATTAATTAATTTAATAATGAATATTCACCATTATGTGCTAAAGCAGTAAAGTGTATGATATAGTGATAATGATGATATGTGTTTTGTATAACAGAGATTCTAAAATAATCTGATCAGCGATCCTATATTATAAATAGTGTGATCAATACTATCCAAATATAGAAAAATTCTTGACTATACTATGAATATTTAATATATGATTTAATTTTAACAGAATTTGCTTATTATTTTGCCTTTGCTTATAATTTGTCAGCTTTATATCTACTTTTTGGCTTCTTGTTCTAATATCATTTTATCAGTACTATATAATATTGTATGTTTCTTTGTTAACAGGTATTTAAAATTTTTATAATATGAAACTCCATTTCGCTTAAATTAAAATTATATAAAACAGGCTTTCTGTATAAATTTCTCATATAATTATACCAAATAAATAAATATCAGATGCTTTAGTATATGATTGGTTTCTAAAATCAGAAATAACAAAGAGCAAAACTCGATAAAACCCTGATAAAATTTAAACCAGATAGTAAAAATTTAAAAAGAAAATATATATTTCTATAATGAAAAATAATGCATTAAATTTGTAATTATTAGATCATCTTTTGTCAAGAGGACTTGAAAAATATTTTTTGACACCATTTAAAAATAACTTTGTCTAACAACTATACTCATAATTGTTCAGTATAAAAAGTGGCTTGAATTCTTAAAAAATAGTAATTTTCTATAACAAACTTTTGTTTGCTTTCATAACTATCAGTTCATTGTAGAAAGAGTAACTGTAGTTAGATATTAAATTGAATAATGCATTTGCATTAAATAATAAGGGAGAAATTTACTGAATTATCATTACTCTATTGGCATTAAAAACTATTATTAATTGTATGTATATAATTAAAAAAAAGGTGTAAAGAAAAACTGAAATAAAACTTACATACATTTACTGAAAATGCCAAAAGAAACTAACTTGAAGAATTATTAATAAATTGATATTTAGTTTAAATAATCTAATTTGTTTATTTGTTGTAAAAAATGAAGATGTGACTTCAATTATAAGCCCATGGCTAGTAAACCCTATAAAAAAAATTTTATTTAAGTCAACCATTGAAGAAAAATTTTTCAGATTATTGAACTAACCAGAAAAATAATAAACATTGTAGTTATAGATATTAAAAAACAGTCGAATAGTATGTACTAACTGAAGGTATGTAGATTTATTGTTAAAAATTTGTGAAATAGTAAAAACAAAAAAAGATACTTAAAATAAACAATATTTATGAATTAATATAGGTCTTTGCTCAGAATTGAAAATGAACTAATTCTTGCTAAAATTAAAGATGATCAATCAATATTAAGTTAATACCTAATTAAATTTATAAATATATCTAAATAAGTAAAATTACGAATTATCCAAGTGCTTGAATAAGTTAAAACATTTTCTCAAATATATTAATAAACATGCCATAGTGCAGTAACTAAAATATATTTATTTTACAATATTCTATAACAAATACGCTAATGCATAACACAGGATTTCTATTATTTAATAAATTTTTTTAAATTTCAAGATTTTTGCTAAAGATGCGAGGTATATAAATGCTTGAGATTTTTCTTTTTTTACAGCATAACTTGTTGCTGCATAGTATACCATACCTTTTATAAGTTTTTTTGTTAGATATTTTGTACTAGACCTCACTTTTTTTAGTTAGTGTAATATTATATATTAACAAATATAATAATTAAATACCAAGAGATCAATTGAAAGCTGAAGAAAAGCTTGCAAAAATAGGTATTTTTGTAAGATAGATTTAACCTAGGTCATTATCCATCTAATAGATTGAATATTAAAATCATTAAATTAAATATTAATATATATCAGGGATAATGCTGAAATTTTGATTTATTTTATTATGAAAATGTAAAATTTTTTGGGGTGTTTTGTTTAGCTTTTTTTTTTATAGTTCGATTAGAATTTAGGGTTAGTGTTTATAATAAAAGAGTATAGATAGATTTTAGTAGAGTTTATATTTTCAAATTAAGGCTCCAAATTTTAGCATCATCTAATTTCAGCATCATCTCCAACAATATATAATGTTTTTTAAGATCAAAACTTATATTGAACATCTTTTTTTCTTTTAATATAACCCTCTAAGTCATATACTTTAAAGATTGGTATGAAAAATCCAAAGTACAGAGCCAGTTTTTGTAAATATTTGGGTATGCTATTTAATAATTTATATATATATATATAAAACTAGTATAATCTTTAATAATAATTTATTTGTCTTCTAATGCTAAGTCTGAATTTCTAATTATTTTTTCTTTTATATATAACAGAGTTGATAAATAAATATCTAATTCAAGTACTATTTGAGACCATTATATAAAATATTGTATAAACCTATTTGGGTGAATACTATTATCTATTTAATATTACACAAACTTTCAAAAATAGGTTGAAATTTTTAAAACATATATTTATTTAGTAAAAAGCAATTTTTTTTATCAAACCTTGGTACTATATGCTTCTTTATAGATAGATTCTACTAGAATTATATTATAATCATTTGTATAAAATAGTTGTAGGCAACTATATAACTCTGATTTACTTGGCTTAATATCATACTAACAAACTATTGCAAAGTCAAATAGATCCTTTGCTAATTTCTGAAAGAATCTCAGGAAAATCAATATCTTTTTATACTATACCTTTATCTAATTTATACTAATCTTGATCCTCTGCATCAGATATTGCAATATTACTAAACAACTCCATACCTTAAAAACTACCAGATATTCTTAAAATTTTACTATTTTCTAAATGAACCATATTATAAATTTTTATATAAAAATCTTCACTATAAGAATCTTATAAAGATATATCAAGAAAGATATTTAATACTTGAATTAACTGAGACAAACCTTTAATAAAGTTTAGATGCATTTGGCTTAAAGCTTTTAAGAAGTTAACTTTTGCTTCAATAGCATCTAACTTTAATTCTCACTATACTTTGCTAAATCTTTTAGTTTTGTGATAAACAACTTTGCTTATTGTGAAAGTTAACTTTTTATACTTTATCTTTAAGTATAATTTTATTGATTATAATGAAATTGGTATATTTTAAATGGTTTCTTATTTAAAATATTAATAATTTAAAGCAATTGGTCTTTTTTATATAAGAATAGCAAGAACCATTTTTATATAAAAAAGACTAATTGCTCTAAACTCTATTTTTACTATACTTATTAACTGTTCTATTATATTTTTTCTATTTGATGATCTGTATAGATTTTTTATATACATTTTATAAAGCATCTCATAAGTTTCAGTTGACAAGTCATTTAATATTCTATATTTACAAATAGTTAAGATTATGTAATATCTTCAACTATATAGTTTTGAAAATCTGCATTTGGTGGTAGATAATAGTGAGAATATTTTCTTGAATTTATTACACTAGTCAATAATTTGGGCCTATATCAAATTTAAAATATTATTTAAACTTTTTATTTAGTTTATTTGACAAACTATTAATACTTGCTTCAAAATTTTGCAAGCTTATTTTAGTAGATAACTCATAATGACTTATTATATACATTTTACTAAATTTAGTATATAATTTGCAAAGGTTATTTGATTCCATTCATCAAAAATATTATCAAAAGCAAAAAGTGCGACCTTCATTATATATTAATAATCTGTATTAAGAAATTTTTAAATAGGGTAAATATCGATTATTATTGGCAGGATTGATTATTATTGATTAAAAAATTGATAAGAATCAATATTGGGCTGCTAATCGATATACAACAGATTAAAAAGCAATCTATTATAATTTGATTAATGTTGCTAATTGATTATATACGATAAAAATTGATTGTATAACAAATAGTGTAAATCAATCAACTGAGTTTTTTTAGATTATGCTATATAGTAATTAGATTCAATATATTATTACGACTAGTAGGAGAGACTTGTATTGGCAGAACTAATTTAGCTGAGAGTTGTATACATTAAATAAAAATCTAGTTATTTTATTAATACACAAAAGGCACTAGAATATACAGAATGTAATAACTAATATTTTTTTATTGTGTCTAGATATTAACAATATTAATATTTCTATTTCTACTACCTATTTAGCAAGTTCCAAACTTACTAGACTCCAACTCAAATTACAAAACTAAAAGACAAAACTACTGCTAAAATATATATCATTCTATATATATAGTATATCTATACACAAACTCTAAAATAAACTATAGTCTATTTAAAGTCTGATTTAAAGTATACTTGGGGTATTGTATGTACATTATATGATTTAATATTATAGTACAGCACTATATATAATTTATATTAAGTGAGAAGCCTGTCTACAAAGTAACAGAGTGATCATTATTGTGAGATCAGATGACTTTATAGATCTTATATATATTTTTCTTTAGCCTCTTATAGTAGTTGTAATAAATTCTGATTTTCTTGTTATTATTATGATCATATATGATTGTTTGTATTATTTATAGTTGTGGGTTAGCAATAAGTAGAAAAAGTAAGAAGATAGGTATATTCAGTATTGTCACAAGACAGTTGTAGATAGTAAGTTTGGACTATACATGCCACTGAAATAGGTTTTCAAAAAAACCCTATTTTGTCTCTATTAGAGCAAATTAGAATTTTTTATATGCAAAAGCAAATCTAATTTAGGTAGTTATGTTTCTTATAATTTTGTCTTTTCAAAAAAAATGTCATAAAATTTTGTCTTTTAAGTAAAATAGGTCAAAACAATTTCATCTTCAAATTTTAATTTTGGGTTTTAGACCCTGAAATAATTTTATCAGCATTATACATGCACTGAAATAGGTTTTTTAAAAAAACCTATTTTATCTCTATTAGAGCAAATTAGAATATACAAGAGCAAATTTAATTTAGGTAGTTATATTCCTTATAATTTCGTCTCTTCAAAAAAAGTATCAAAAAATTTTATCTTTTAAGTAAAATAGGTCAAAAACAATTTCATCTTTAAATTTTAATTTTGGGTTTTAGATCCTGAAATAATTTCGTCAGCATGTATAGTCGACATGTATAGTTTGAACACTTTAGACAATTTTGGACAATTAAATAAATTAAAATTACTCAAAATTTTATTAAGATAACCTATATTAATTTCTAAGTAAAATATGTTCAGCATATAAAAGAATATATAATTATATATTTTTTAAACAAATTTATTAATTATTAATACTTGGACATGCTCTGGATACTTGTAGACACTTGAACACTTGGATATTGAACAGTGTCAAAAAGCCTTTGGACAGTCAAAATATACAATACTGGGTATATGATGCTGGGTATATTCAGAGAATGTTGTCAAATATTCATAAGAGGGTATTTAAAAGTTACTTAGCTATTTAGAAGTTTGTATCTTTCTTTTTGCTATTGCTCATCTTGTAGTGAAGGCTGGCTTATTTGTCTACTCTTTTCTACCCAAACTTGCAATAGTCTCATAAGAATTTTAGTAAAAGTTAGAGCAATCTGTTGAGTATTATAGGCTTTATGGCTGCTGTAATACAGTAGTGCAAGGACCTTATTTTTGATAGTTGGGCTCTGCAGTTGTAATGGCAATACAAGAACTCACCTAAGATGTGGGGCTCTGTGGCTGTATCAATAGTGCAAAGACCTCTTTTGCCTTATTCGAGTAATAAATTGTTTCAGCCTATTCTTTTGTTAGCTATGTTTTTCTATTCTTGTGAGCCATTTTCTTGTGAGAAATATACTAGACCATTTAGGGATAATGCAGGATTGTATTCAGGAGATTGATAAGTTGGGATATAAGTAGAACTAATTGATGTGTTTAAATTCTAAGTATAGTATTCCTAAAGATAGGTAGAGCTTT